TCTGTGGCCCACGCTGGAGTGCAGTGGCACAGATCACGACTCCTTGCTGTCTTGACCTCCTGGGCTCAGGTGATCCTTCTGCCTCAGTCTCCCAAGTAACTGGGACTACAAGGTGCACACCACCACGCCAGGCTAATTTTTTTTTTTTTTTTTTGTAGAGACAAAGTCTCGCTGTGTTGCCTAGGCCAGTCTTGAACACCTGAGCTCAAGCAATCCTCCTACCTCAGCCTCCCAAATTGTTGGGATTGCAGGCATGAGCCACAGTGCCTGGCCTTCCATTTTCAACCTTAGCATGTGCTCAAGATTCAGTATTTAGGGGATAAGATAAGACCCTGGGCTCTGGCATTAAATTGAATTGACTCCAAATCCTAGCTCTGCTGCTCACTAGCTGAGTATTTTTATTATTATTATTTTGTATCGTAGAGATGAGGTCTCACCATGTTGCTCAGGCTGGTCTCGAACCCCTGAGCTCAGGCAATCCTTTCGCCTCTACCTCCCAAAGTGCTGGGGCTACAGGTGTGAGACACCGCACTTGGCTATAACTGAGTATTCTTGGGAAGGTTAATTGTCCAAGCTTCAGTTTCTCCTCTATCAGATGGGTATAGTTGAAGTTCTACTTCACAGCGCCTTGACCATGAAATTAAAATGAGAAAACCTGTGTAGAAAACTTGCCTGTGCCGACATGTTCAGTAAATGCTAATGATTATAGTTGGTAGAAAGAGTCTTTTCTGGAGAACTTGAACCAGTCACTTTATCTCTGGGCTCGCTTGGTCTCCGCATTTTTTTTTTTGAATAGGAATTTTACTCTGTCACCCAGGCTGGAGTGCAGTGACACGCTCACGGCCACCACAGCCTCGACCTGCTGGACTTAGGCAATCCTTCCACCTTACCCTCTGAGTAGCTGGAACTACAGGCACTTGCCACCACGTCCAGGTAGTTTTTTATTTTTTTATTTAATTTTTTTTGAGTTGGAGTCTCACTCTGTTGCCCGGCCACCGCAGCCTCGACCTGCTGGGCTTCAGCGATCCTTCCGCCTCAGCCTTCCAAGTAGCTGGAACTACAGGCGCGCGCTACCACGCCTGACTGATTTTTTATTTATTGTAGAGATGAGGGCTTGCCAAGTTGCCCAGGCAGGTCTCGAACCCGCGGGCTCAGGCAATCCACTCATCTCAGCCTCCCAAAGGCACGGGATTGCAGGCTGAGCCACCGAGCCCGGCTTCCAGGTAGTTTTTTTAAATAAAGATGTGATCTCGCCAAGTTGCCCAGGTTGGTCTCAAACCCCTGGACTCAGGCAATCCTCTCACCTTTGCCTCCCTAAGAGCTGGGATTACAGGCATGAGCCACCATGCCCAGCCAGGTCTCCTCATTTATAAAACAGTAACAGTCTTACCTAGCTTTCCCAGGGTTGCTGTGAAAATTAGATCTTGGACCCAAAAGATTGTCACACCCAAGCTCTCCTACACACTTGAAGAGGTTATTTTTATTTTTCAGTTTCCACTGCGTGAAAGGCACTGAGTTTATGTGTTCAACAAATATTGACCATGGGCCTGTTCCAGGTCAGGTTCAGTGAATGGGATGAGACTATTACCCATATCATTCTTCAAGTTCCATGTGAGCTTTGTCTGGTTCAAGGGCCAGCAAACTTTTCTCTGTAAGGAGTGAGAAAGTTGCCGGGCTCGGTGGCTCAGCCTGTAATCCTGCGCCTTTGGGAGGCTGAGGTGAGTGGATGCCTGAGCCTGCGGGTTCGAGACCTGCCTGGGCAACTTGGCAAGACTTCAGCTCTACAATAAATCAAAAATTAGCTGGGCGTGGTAGCGCATGCCTGTAGTTCTAGCTATCTGGAAGGCTGAGGTGGAAGGATCGCCGGAGCCCAGCGGGTTGAGGCTGTGGTGGCCGGGAGCAGCCACTGCACTCCAGTCTGGGCGACAGAGTGAGACTTCAACTCAAAAAAAAAAAAGGGTGAGAAAGTTAATACCTCAGGCATTATGGGCCTTTTGATCTCTGTGGCAACTACCACCACGTAGCTCTGTCCTTGAAGCACGGAGCCAACCCTAGACAATATGTCAACCAGTGATCGTGGCTGTGTGCCCAGGAAACTTGGTAGAGGGACCCAGGAATGTGAATTTCATGTGAGTTTCTATGTCATGAAATATAATTCTTTTGATTGTTCTTCCCCCTACTTAAGACATGTAAGACACATTCTTTTTTTTTTTTTTTTTTTTTTGAGTTGGAGTCTCACTCTGTCGCCCAGACTGGAGTGCAGTGGCCGCTCCCGGCCACCGCAGCCTCGACCTGCTGGGCTCCGGCGATCCTTCCGCCTCAGCCTTCCGAGTAGCTGGAACTACAGATGTGCGCTATCACACCCGGCTAATTTTTGATTTATTGTAGAAATGAGGTCTCGCCAAGTTGCCTGGGTGGGTCTCGAACCCGCGGGCTCAGGCAATCCACTCACCTGAGCCTCCCAAGGCGCGGGATTACAGGCTGAGCCACCAGCCCGGCTGGTAAGACACATTCTTAGCTTGTAGGCTAGACAAAAGCAGGCAGCGGGTAGATCTGGTCCCTGGACTGTCATCTGCTGTTCCCCCTGGGTGGTTTACCTCTAACCCACTGAGGTAGCTGTGAACCAAGAGGTCACTGGCTTCTTCTAATTTTTTAGTTTACATATTTCTGAGTCTCCATGGACCATCTATTTGTCACTGAGTTGACGGGGAGTTGGGGTCTTTCAGTATCAGGTGGCGGGCGGGTTCCCGTTGCAGTCATGATGCTTATTTTGAGTTCTCAAGCTCAGGAGATGCCAAACATATGACCATGCTGTGTGCTTGCAGTCTGTTCTATGTGTGTCCTCTCCTTTCAAAGCGCTTCACTTGTCTCTGGTCATTCCTTCCAGCTTGGCTGAAGTTCTGGAGATACTGCTACCCCCATTTTACAGATGAGGAAAGAGAGTCCCAGAAAGTGTCATGGTTTCCTTGAGGATTTGTTAGTGAGTGGAGGCTTCAGGGCTGGCATGGAAGTTTTCCGTCTCCTAGTCCACAGCTGGTTCCCTTCTCTCTGGGCGTCTGTGAGAGGCACACAGTTCTCTGCCGAACAGAAGACAGTAAGAGTGAGGGCTCCCCTCCTCACCGCGGGGTGTTGGTGGGGGGCCCTCATTCTCACTGTCTTCTGCTCAGCAGTCATGTATAGGTGAAGTCATAGGTCACATGCTGGACAGGATAGCCAACCTTCATTATTCATTCCTTTCACAAATATTTATGGAGCTCCTAATAGGTGCCAGGCTCTATTCTAGATACTTGGTGTAGAGTAGTGAGCAAAAGACAGACAAGACTCCTGCCCTCATGGTGCTTACAGAATAGTATAGAAAAACAAGGACGTAGACAGAGACATCTGGTATTTAGGAATTGTAGACACTAAAGCCCAGACTTCTTTGCCACCTTACAATACAGCCCTGTAACCAAAAACTATCTGTACCCTCTAAAGCCGTTGAAGAAAAAACCACCAGGTGCGGTGGCTCCTGCCTAGCACTTTGGGAGATGGAGGTGAGGATTGCCTGAGTCCAGGGGTTCAAGACTAGCCTGGGCAACTTAGCGAGACCTCGTCTCTACAATAAATAAAAAAAGTAGCCAGGTATGGTGGCAGGCACCTCTGGTTCCAGCAGGTAGCTGGAAGGCTGAGGTGGAAGGAAGGAAGGATCACCTGAGCCCAGCAGGTTGAGGCTACAGTAACCGTGAAAGACCCACTGCACTTCAGTCTGGGCAACAGAGTGAGACTCCTACTCAAAAAAAAAAAGGAAAGAAGGTTGGGCTTGGTGGTTCAACCTGTAATCCCATGCCTTGGGAGGCTGAGTTGAGTGAATTGCCTGAGCTCGCGGGTTCGAGACCCGCCTGGGCAACTTGGCAGGACCTCATCTCTACAATAAAAATCAAAAAAATTAGCCAGGTGTGGTAGCGTGCCTCTGTAGTTGTAGCTACTTGGAAGGCTGAGGGGGAAGGATTGCCAGAGCCCAGCAGGTCGAGGCTGCGGTGGCCGGGAGTGGCCACTGTACTCCGGTCTGGGCGACTGAATGAGACTCCAATTCAAAAAAAAAAAAAAAGGAAGGAAAAGTTAAAAAAGGAATAGTGATAATGCTAGGGAGTAACAGGGGACCTATTCATTTATGTGCTGTCACTATGTCAAGTCATCATCTAACTTAATCTTCATAACCAGCCTATCAAAAGACATGGGTGTTCAGAGAAGTCAGGTAATTTTCCTGGCATCACAGTCTAGGGAGGGAAACCACTCAACAGGTAATTTTCTACAGAGATGAGTGCTGTCCTTGTGCTGTGGATAAACAGATTTTGAATGGTTGTGCTAAGGAACTCTTCAGTGGGCAGTGGGAACCATTGAAGGTTTTAAGCAAACAGAGGAGTGTCCGTGGTCAATTCACTGCTTTAGAAAGCTTACTCCAGAAACAGTTGGGAGGGTGAGCAGGAGGGGGTATCTGGAGACTCTTTTAGGAAGCCCTTGAGTTTTTTTTTTTTTTGAGTTGGAGTCTCACTCTGTCGCTCAGGCTGGAGTGCAGTGGCATACACGCAGCCTCGACCTGCTTGGCTCAGGCAATCCTTTTACTTCAGCCTTCCAATTAGCTGGAACTACAGGCATGTGCCACCATGCCCAGCTAATTTTTTGATTTATTGTAGAGACGAGGTCACGCCGAGTTGCCCAGGCAGGTCCCTGGGCTCAGGCAGTCCTCTCGCTTCTGCCTCCCAAATTGCTGGTATTATAGGCGTGAGCCACCACGCCCGACTTCTTGAGGTCATCTTGAGCGAGAGTGGAGGTCGTGGTGGTATAGGGAAGCAGGGGGGTTGGAGACCGAGCCAGCGAGGACAGCCAACAGGGTGAAGTAACTGAGCAGACACGGACTGGGCTGCGGAGTATGGGGGACCCTGGAGGAGGAGCAGGTTTTGTTCTGCATGGGGGCCCCCATATAGGATCTGGAGTGAACAGTCTGTGGATTCTGCCCCTAGGGAGCCGGCGACTGGTGGACGTGATGGATGTAAACACCCAGAAGGGCACGGAGATGAGCATGTCCCAGTTTGTGCGTTACTACGAGACGCCCGAGGCGCAGCGGGACAAGCTGTACAACGTCATCAGCCTCGAGTTCAGCCACACCAAGTTAGAGCACTTGGTCAAGCGTCCGACTGTGGTAGGCTCCTGGCTGTGGTCCCCTGATGTCCTTCAGCTCACCTGCCTTCCTGTTCCCCGCCCCCACTCCTGGCTCCAGGTGGCTTGTGGTTGTGATTGGCGTGGGTGTGGCTAAATCTGGTCCCCTGGAGAGGATGAGGGGAATGCTGGAAGTCAGGCTGAGGCCAAGAGGAAAGGGTGGACTTGGTGAGGGAGGAAGGGCACCCAGAAACCCCCAGGTGGAAGAGGGTGTCCGGTGGGACCCGGAAGTGCTGACAGTGGTCTGGCTTTCAGGTAGATCTGGTGGATTGGGTGGACAACATGTGGCCCCAGCATCTGAAGGAGAAGCAGACAGAAGCCACAAATGCCATCGCAGAGATGAAGTACCCCAAAGTGAAGAAGTAAGACTGCCTTGGCTGGTGGTGGGAGCTGGGTGGGCGTGATCTCCAGCCTTGGGTGGGTTCCTGGCCATCGAGGAAGGGCTTGAGGGTAGCTTTGCAGCCGCTTCCCTTCAGGACTGAAGGCCTGTGTCCTGTGAGGGCATAGCTGGGGCAGGAGGGATGGGTCCTTGTGGACAGACTGACATCTTGCTTCCCTGGAATGCAGAGGCTCTGATCTCTGCCGGGGGCTGGACTCTATCCGGATGGCCCTCTGGCCTCCCCATTAGCTCCCCTGGGGGACAGTGATCTGTGGAGGAGGAACAATGGGAGACCTCGCTGTATGCATCTATGTGTGTGTGTCTGAGCATACGGATATGATTGTGTGTACTTGTCAAACATCTGTCTACTTCCTCCATGTGACAGTGTGTCTTGGGAGTGGGCATTTTCAGGGTATCCTGCCCACGCCAGACACTTCGGTTTTAGCAAGGGATGGAGAGGGATTTGGTATACCTTTGGTCCTTAATGTTGAGACCTGGAAGCTTTTACCCAGAAGAACCTTTCCCAGAAAAGCCCAGGAGCCACTTAGAGGACGTTGTCCTCTAAGCAGGAGGTTGGCACTGGGCCGGGAAGTTAACCACATCTAATAGCAGAGACATCACAACATGCAGCACGACCAGCAACTCCTGAGAACGATTATTTAATGTGGGCAAAGGCGCTTGCAAGCCCCTTCATGTTCACGGACTTGAGTAATGGACCCTTGGGAAGGAGGAAGTCACCTTTGGGGCTCCCACCATATTGGACCTCAGTGTGTCCATCTCTACAGGGGAAAGCCAACACTGATTGTTTCGGGCAGGCCTATGTATGGTTCCGGGTTTCCTAGAAGAGTTGGCACTGGTGGCCGGAATCCATTAGCATCTCGGCTCAGCCCTGCTGCCAGGAATGCCCCCAGGGGTGTCAAGGCTGTGAACTTTTCATTCACTCAGCCCATAATTCAGTGCACAGTGAGTGCAGACTACGTGCCAGGCTGTGTAAGGGAGGCCATCGTGCTGGCCCTTGGGCTTCTTGTGCTTGCTTTCTCTCTTTCTTTAGTTACTTCGTAGGCATTTTTCCTCCTCTCCAAGCTGAAGCTCTGTCCATGCCTGGGTTCTGGGTTGCATGAAAGGCAAAAACTGAGCCGGGCTCAGTGGCTCAGCCTGTAATCCCAGCACTTTGGGAGGCTGAGGTGAGACGATTGCCTGAGCCCGCGGGTTCGAGACCCGCCTGGGCAACTTGGCGAGACCTCATCTCTACAATAAATCAAAAAATTAGCTGGGCATGGCGGCGCGCGCCTGTAATTCCAGCTACTTGGAAGGCTGAGGCGGAAGGATCACCAGAGCCCAGCAGGTCGAGGCTGCGGTGGCCAGGAGCGGCCACTGCACTCCAGTCTGGGTGACAGAGTGAGACTCCAACTCAAAAAAAAACCAAACCAAAACAAAGGCAAAAACTGGGCTTGAGGTGGGAGAGAGCATAGCTCCAATAGGGCTTGTTTTCAGCTCTGTTCTATTCCAATTCCATCACAGCAAAAATCACAGAACCCCTGGGATAGAGTTGTAAAGAGATGAACAAGATTAAAAGCCCCAGCCTTCAGGAGAACAGGCCACAAAGTGTAAGGACCAAGGAGCAGGACAAGGACTGGAGGAATACTATTTGGCTGGTGTCATCTGCTTCTTGGAGGGGATATTCAGCCTGAACTTTATTTATTTATTTAAAGCAGGACTTATGATTATGATTATGATTATTATTATTAGTAGTAGTAGTAGTATTTTGAGTTGGAGTCTCACTCTGTCACCCAGACTGGAGTGCAGTGGCATGCTCCCAGGCACCGCAGCCTCAACCTGCTAGGCTCTGATGATCCATCTACCTCAGCCTTCCAAGTTAGCTGGAACTACAGTCCCATGCTACCACGCCTGGTTAATTTTCTTGATTTACTGTAGAGATGAGGTCTCACCAAGTTGCCTGGGCTGGTCTCGAACCCGCAGGCTCAGGCAATCCACTCTCCTCGACCTCCCAAAGTGTTGGAATTACAGGCTAAGCCACTGAGCCCGGCCTAAAGCAGGACTTATTAAGAGGACAGAAAAGGTCCCACAGTGGGAGGGGACCTGAGGGGGTTGCCTTATTTATTTATTTATTTATTTAGTTGGAGTCTCAACTCTCACCCAGACTGGAGTGCAGTGGCCGCTCCAGGCCACCGC